CCTCCCCGGCTCGGAGTGGTTGCACACTTGCCACCATTTTGTTCACCAAAAAAAAAAAAAAAGTTGTATCAGTTATTAAAATTTGGGGACCCATCGACGAAAAGCAGCAGAATAATAATATTACCATTCAAAGTGAGTATGCGACCTAAGACCACGTGGAGCAGTTTTAAACCGTTCATGAAGACATCGTGGAACATTTTCAAAGCAAGAACTATTTTCTTTTCTTCTTATAATTGGGCTTGTCCAATATAGGTCCCTATAATTTCTATTTCCTAGATATATACCCATCATTCTATAAATCTATGTGTAAAACCCAATTTCAAACTTAAATGACTAGTAGGATATAAGAGGTCATAGTATTCCTACGTTTTTACACCCTTGCCATCAAACTTCATATTTTATTTATAATTTATTCCAAGCATTTCATTAACTACCATAATTGTAATTAAAACTCCCTATTAATAGCATATCAATCACCCCATTTCTTTTGGTTGCCATTCCCTCTAACATATCGCCCCCTAAAATTGCAAAAAAAAAAAGTAAATTACATATCCAATAATGTACATATGAAAAATATAAATATATATGTATAAAAATATAGGTATATTATTTACCAAAAAAATTAATTAAAAAAAAGGTCAATTACTTTGTAATTGAAATTTCCGTACATTTTTCATAAATTAAATATAGGTACACAATAATTTATAGAAAATAGGTGCGTTATATAATTGAAATTTATGCACTTATAAATTAAAAATAGGTACATTATTTAGAAGAAAAAAATAAGTTCATTATACTAGGTAATTTTTTTTTACTAGGTATACATTATTAGAGAAAAAAATAGGTACATTATTTAGAGAAAAAAATAGATACAAAATTTAGCGAAAAAATAAGTTCATTATACTAGGTAAATTGTTTTACTAGGTACATTATTAGAGAAAAAAAAATAGGTACATTATTTAGAGAAAAAAATAGATACAAAATTTAGCGAAAAAATAAGTTCATTATACTAGGTAAATTGTTTTACTAGGTACATTATTAGAGAAAAAAAAATAGGTACATTATTTGGAGAGAAAAAATAGGTTCATTTTAAAAAAATTGTTTTCATAAATAAAAAGATGATCAAATTATTTTTCATAAAACAAATAATAGGTGCTTTATTTAGAGAAAAAAATAGGTACATTATTTAGAGAAAAAAAGGTACATTATTTAGAGAAAAAAAGGTACATTATTTAAATATAGGTACACAATAATTTATAGAAAATAGGTCCTAACAAATGGTAACAAAACCCATAAAGCCCATAACGAGAATATGTAAATTTTACGAAATGGAATGATTTCTCTTGTAGACTCTCGGAGGATGAAAATGCTTATGTTACTAGGCAAACAAAGTTCTACCCCGTTGAAGATGCTCTAAAGTGGTGGAGGAGTTTTAAGTAGTAACATTATGTGTTTTTTTTAGGGACTTCAAAGAAATTTAATGTAACATTTGTTTTATGTCTCTATCTATGTCATAGCTATTAGGAAGAGAAACCTCGTAATGTGACCAAAGATCCGTTGCACATGGCAAAGATACGTTGCCCCTGCACGATGCCCCAAAAAGCGGGGCTCCACCAATCAGAATGGGTTATAGAAGAATTAATAATATTACAAGGTAAGTTCGGACTTTACTTTTTATTTTATTTTATTGTTTTTTATAGAATTAACAGAGCGGAATTATAGAGAGAAATGCTCTTAATTACTTATATTCACGTAAACTGTAAGCTATAAACGAGTAATTTTTTATGTTTGAGTCACAAAGTATTTATATCTTATGTGTATTGGAAAATATTTTAGTAAATTGAGCTTAGACCCATAAAATTCATTTTAAATCACCTACAACCCTTTCATTTAGTTTTCTATTTAAAATACCCAATGTTTTCAAATAATACCCGATGACTAGAATCCAACTAAGTAAGTTACCTAATATAACATAAAATCTGATTTATTGTATTTTTCGGATTCCAAAACTACCCATATTTATAAGTTAATGTATTATGGGGGGTGTAACTAATGACACCCGTTGAATTTGAAAATATCTCCAAATAGTTGTAATGGATGTAGGAACTAATTTAGAAACTTATTTGAAATTAAATATTAAATTCCACATTAAAGTATTAGTAATCTATTTTACGACTAGTAATCTATTTTTGAATTAATGGTGTTTTCCTTCTATGAATTACGACTAGTAATCTATTTAAAGTATTAGTAATTTAAATTCAATATTAAATTTAGGAATTAATGTTGTTTTCTTTTTATGAATTATACGACCAGTATTCTTTTTTATTATAGTTTTATGAATAATAGTGTACATTCTAATTATGTTGAAAAATAATTTGATAATCTATTTATTGTTTTGTTTTTAAAACATTTTTTTTAATGAACCTATTTTTTCTCCAAATATTGTACCTATTTTTTTTCTTTATTACTTGTTTTATGAAAATAATTTGATCATCTTTTTATTGTTTGTTTTATGAAAACAATTTTTTTTAAATGAGCCTATTTTTTCTCTCAAAATAATGTACCTATTTTTTTTCTTCTCTAATAATGTACCTAGTAAAACAATTTACCTAGTATAATGAACCTATTTTTTTCTTTAAATAATGTACCTTTTTTTTTCTCTAATAATGTATACCTAGTAAAACAATGTACCTAGTATAATGAACTTATTTTTTTCTTCTAAATAATGTACCTATTTTTAATTTATAAAAAATGTGCATAAATTTCAATTATACAACGTGCCTATTTTCTATAAAGGGTATATTAGTGATTTGCCCCCTGAACTTGTACCTAATTTTCAATTAGTCCCCTATTCTTTTTTTTTAGAAAATTAAGGATATAAACTTCTTTTTTTCGCCAATTTTCCCCCTGCCGTCTAAATCATCAACATTTCATCCAATTTTATGTTAAATCATTAAAAATAAATTTATTTTTTTGGAAAAAATTAAAAAAAAGAGAAGAAAAAAATATATGGTCAAGCTCTTCTCTATCTCTCTTCCTCTGTCAAACCCAATCCACCTTATTCAAACTTTTTACTCTTAAAAAGTATGAAAATTAAAAATAAAAATTGAAGAAAAACCAAAGCAGGTACCCAAAGTCCCAACCCACCCAGTGCCGACAGCAACTCTCTCTCCCACATGAAAATTCACATTCTGATTTTCACCAAAACCAACTCTAGCCCCTGCCCCAGCCACCCCATGCTCGACCCTTCCCTCTCTCATCCTTTGAAGTCTGGCTATAATCTTTGGATCATCCAATTTGAAGGCTTGAAGCTCTCAAACCACAAAAATTGCTTGTTGGGTAATAATTATTTTCTTAATCTCTTTACTTTTTCATCTCACAAAAAAACGTTGCAGCAGCATCAAAGAAAGCCTTGTCCAATAGAGCGCAGGTCTAGTATGCTCCTCAAAGATTTCCTCAATGAGAATTCTAACGCATGTTCTTCAAGTGGGTTCAAATCATTCCCCAGAAAGCAATCACCATTCAATCCCAGCAGTCCCCAGAAGAACCTCATTGAATTTGATCCAAAACCAACAAGTTCAAACTCAAAAAATAACCCCACCATTACCAGCAAATTACTCAGAAGCAGATCAAAGGCAGCCTCCACCACAATCTCAGCCTCTATCACAGCAACCAGTGACCCACCCCCTTCCCCGAACGCAACTCACCTCCTTCCCCAAACGCAACCCACCCCCACATCCAAAAAACAAAAAAAGAAAACCTTATCCCCACCCACAGACCCAAACCCATTCGCGCCCTTTACCCCTAAAACAAATAATAATCCTTTGTTCTGCAGCTTGATTCTTCTTCTTCCTCCCGCTGTAGCTCGATTCTTCTTCGACCCCTATCCCCCCACTTTGTTATCTCCACTCTCGCCACAAAAAATCCAACCCCCAGCTTTAAACAATTCCCAAAACCTAGCTCCCTACTCTGTCATCTCCACTCCAGCCACAAAAAATCCAATCCCTAGCTTCCCCACCAAAACAAAATCAAATCTTAAAGAGGGAGATGTGCGGAGGCAGTGAATCTCTGAACCCAAATATGAACTCAAACCCGAATTTGCCAAGAATATCTTAACGCCGTCAGCATCCTAAGCCCAGATCGTGATGAAATTTAAGAGAGAGAGAGAGAGAGAGAGAGAGAGAGAGAGATATGGCATGTGAGGTTATTTATTTATTTATTTATATATTTTTAATAACTTTATTTATATTATTATGATTTCAAAATTTAAATTATTTTATTTTATTTTCACATGGAAATGACCAATTTACCCTCATATTTAACGGCAAATTGGATGAAATGTTGAGAATTTAGACGGCATGGGGGAAATTGGTGAAAAAAAAAAGTTCATATCCTTAATTTTCTAGAAAAAAAAGAATAGGGGGCTAATTGAAAGCGAGCTACAAGTTCAGGGGGGTATTTCAGTAGTAGTGTACCTATTTTTAATTCATGAAAAATTTACGGAAATTTCAATTACAAAGTAATTGACCTTTTTTTTTTTTTTGGTAAATAATATACCTATATTTTTTATACGTATATATTTATATTTATATTTTTCATATGTACATTATTGGATATGTAATTTACATATTTTTTTTATTTGCAATTTTAAGGGGCCATATGTTAGAGGGAATGGCAACCAAAAGAAATGAGGTGATTGATATGCTATTAATAGGGAGTTTTAATTACAATTATGGCAGTTAATGAAATGCTTGGAATAAATTATAAATAAAATATGAAGTATGATGGTAAGGATGTAAAAACATAGGAATACTATGACCTCTTATATCCTACTGGTTATTTAAGTTTGAAATTGGGTTTTACACATAGATTTATAGAATGATGGGTATATGTCTAGGAAATAGAGATTGTAGGAACCTACATTGGACAAGTCCTAAATATTTCTACGTTAGACTGGTGTAGCCGCACATACACAAATTTGTTCTTTCTCAATCGCCCTAAGCCTAAGTATGTATATATGTTACAACGTCAGTATAAATAGACGTGCTTTGCCTTCTTCACTGCAAAGAAGGTTAGACAAGTAGTTTGGTTTGGAGGTGAGGTGAGGCCCAGCAAAAGATGGCGGTGGTCAACGTGAGCGTGAGGGAGTCAACGTTGGTGAAGCCAGCGGAGGAAACGCCAAAACGGGCGTTGTGGATATCGGACTTGGATGTCGTGATTTCGGCAACTCACCTTGGAAGTGTTTACTTCTACAGGAGGCCAAACGTTCAAAACGGAGCGCATCATCTTCAAAACAACTATGTCTTGGATTCGGAGGTGTTCAAGTGCTCCCTTGCCAAGGCCCTCGTGCCCTTCTACCCCGTGGCTGGCCGCCTGAAGCTGAACGATGAGGGACGTATCGAGATCGATTGCAATGCAGAGGGAGTGCTGTTTGTTGAGGCGGAGACTGCCTCGGTCCTCGATGATTTCGGGGACTTTGCGCCGACTCCTGAGTTCCGGAAGCTCATTCCTGCTGTTGATTATTCCGCTGGGACATCCTCTTATCCCCTCTTGGTCGTACAGGTATTCAGAGAAAGAGAGGAGACATTTTTTCACTCCTTATTTTCACAAGAGTTGAAATCTTTTTACCATTTTCGTTTTGAATGTAGTTGATTTTAAACTATTTTTTTCCTAAAGGTAAGGTGATGACTTTTTGGTTATTATTATATGGGCTTCTTAGATCCGGTTCAAAACAATTAGCTGTTATTAGATTTAGTCTACGCATTTTTTGTTTTAGATGTAGGTCCTTTGACATTTATTACTTTTTTTGTTGTGTTGATTTTACCATTTGAGGTAAATAAGGAAAACACAGTTAAAATCTAAATTTAATGCATTATTTCCTTGTAATTGAATTTCTTAATTTAAATTTCGAATTCTTTTCTTGATAATATTTACCTAATATATAGATAAAATACAATTTAATCAATGAAAAGTAAAGACCCACATATTATACCAATAGATCAGACAAGCACCAACATGAAATTATGTACTTGACATACAGATAAATAGTGTTATTTTTAGCAACGAAAAAAACTAGGTGATAAATTGTGTTACCCATAAGTTAGGAACCTAAATTAAAAGACTGCATATAAGTTAGGAACATAAATTGGAAGACTACCTATAAGTTAGATACAAGTTAGGAACATAAATTGGAAGACTACCTCTCTTTGATCTGCTCTTGCATGTGATGTATGTTTCTGTATGCATACAGAGGTACTAAACGTTCCACAATCAAATGCTTTGGTCGACAATGTATAATAGTTTGTAACAACGTGTTTTTTGGGATATTTTTGGGATATTTTTCCTTTTTTATTTAATGACAAACGTTATAAATGGCTAATTATTATCACATAAATTACTATTAGACAAACATTATAAATGGCTAATTATTATCACATAAATTACTATTACCTGATTCAAAGCATAAGGGACAATATTGGAACAAAAAATAATTTTAAAAAATTAAAAATAAAAAGATTACATCATAAAATATTAAAAAAGGAATGTAATCCTATGTGGCACAAAAGTCAAAGGACTTGTATCAAAGTCACCAAATCCGAGGATTAAACCCAACTTTTCAATGGAAATTTGTATTACATCAACTTTTCTATTATTCTTTGAAGCTAAGTTATCATCTTCTTGTTATATATGAGTGGATGCATTTTCTTTTTGGTGGATTAGAGAATAGTTTTACCTCACTATACAATTCGAAGTACTCACCCTTTATTTTATTTCTCTTGCGCATATATCATCCGGGACAATTCTTGACCCTGATATGACTTAAACTTACAAAAGCATGGTTCTGGTTTTACACTGTTTATATATCAGGTCACATACTTCAAATGTGGTGGAGTGTCACTTGGTGTTGGCCTGGAACATCGTGTAGCAGATGGCCTTTCTGGTCTCCACTTTGTAAATACATGGTCTGACATCGCTCGAGGTCTTGACCTTACAATTCCACCATTCATCGACAGGACATTACTTCGTGCCCGAGACCCACCACAGCCTGCATTCGATCACATTGAATACCAACCTGATCCACCCATAAAAACCGGTACAAAAGCTGTAGGTGATGAGAGCGGAACGGTATCCATTTTTAGATTGACACGGGAGCAGCTCAACATCTTGAAAGCCAAGTCTAAAGAAGATGGGAACACAATCAACTATACCACATATGAGATGTTGGCAGGTCATGTTTGGAGATGTGCATCTGTGGCACGTGAACTTCCTGATGATCAAGAGACCAAACTACATATTGCAGTTGATGGAAGGTCCAGACTGCAACCCCAACTCCCTCCTGGTTTCTTTGGCAATGTGATTTTTGCAAGCGCACCAATTGCTGCAGCGGGGGATCTCAAATCAAAACCAACATGGTATGCTGCAAGCCGTATTCATGATACTCTTGTGCGTATGGACAACGATTATCTTAGATCAGCGCTGGACTATCTTGAACTTCAGCCTGACCTCTCACCCCTTGTTCGCGGAGCTTATACTTTTAGGTGCCCGAGACTTGCAATAACTAATTGGTCTAGGCTGCCGATCTATGATGCTGATTTCGGTTGGGGTCGACCTATTTTCATGGGGCCTGGTGGAATACGATATGAGGGGTTGGCTTTTGTGTTACCAAGTGCAACAAATGATGGAAGTTTATCAGTGGCCATTTCTCTGCAATCTCAACATATGAAATCATTCTCCAAGTTGTTGTCTGAGATATAAGGAAATGAAATGGGTCGAATGGGGGCAATACGTTGAGCACACTTTGGGCTTCTGTATGTGTCCTCTGAGTACCGGGACTTTTCATTGACTGTAGCCTAGCTGATCGGAAAGCAGCTGTTTTTGAAAAGTTCAAGTGGTCTTTTGGTTAATTTATATTCGAGTATCTGTTTTAGAAACAACATATAGTACTGAATAAGATTCTCAGAGTATCTGTAAGCTTTGTTTATTGCTGTGGAGGACTTCTTTTTCGGAGTATCTGTACTTTACTGTGATTCTTAATAAGATTTTCTTTCGCCATGAAACAAAAACATACTGAATCACTTTGGTTGCATAAAGGTTATACTTTCAGAAATTTTGGTTTAATGCAAGAGCATTTGGGGCGTTTTTATTTCTCACTATGAAAAAAGGAAGAGTAAATAATCAAGAGGTTCTTGTGCTAAAATATGAATATGGGTTTGAATATGTTAGGTTGTTATTTATTCTTCTCCATAAGGAGATATATAAGAGTTTACATAAGTGCTTTACAAGGAATTAGATATAGTAAAGGATTAGGAAAGTATCTCCTAATTATACAATGATTTGATAACTATATAAAAATAGGAAAGTAAATCCCTTAATTAATCAAGGAAATAAATCTCCTTGATTAATTTGGAGACTCACTTCAACACTCCTCCTCAAGTTAGTGCATATACGTCACAAATGCCCAACTTGGTAAGTGAGTCATGAAATACTCTGCCACAAACAGCTTTGGTTAAGATATCTGCCAGTTAATCTTCTGATTTTATGAATGGTAGGCGGATGATCTTCTTCTCAATTTTTTCGTTGATAAAATGTCTATCCGTAATGGACCCAGCCCAATCAGCATATGTATATCTGAAAACTTCAAGATCTTCATGTTTTGAGAACATTAAAACCTTTCCAAGGGCTGACTTTAAGTATCTTAAGATTCGATCAACAACATTCATATGAGAAACACTGGGTGAATGCATAAACTGACTAACCACACTCACAGCATATGCACTATTTGATCTTGTGTGTGCCAGATATATCAACCTTCCAACAAGGCGTTTGATACTGTTCCTTATTGGTTGGTTCTTGGTCCATGTCTTCACACAACTTGTGATTCATCTCAATGGGTGTGTCAGCCGGCACACTAAATGACTTCCTCAGCAAGTGATTGGTGTGGTACTGGAGCTGAAGTGGGTAAAATCTCATAAGACGGTTCAATTTCCTCCTCCTGATTTTGACAGCGTGGAGAAAATTGATCGTTTTCCTCTGGTGACCGGTCGCTGGATTTTGGCGACCGGTCGGTTTGAAATAGCTTCTCCACTAGCGATTGGTAGTTTTGAAGCAGATTCTCCGTGTTCGAAGAACTAAGGTGGGGCCGGTCACTTTCCACTGGCGACCGACTGTTTGATTTAGGAATTTGATTTGAGGAATTTGATGTAGGAATTGGATTTGGATTTGGATTAGGAATTGGATTTGGATTCGGATTCAGGTTGGAAGGTTGGGATTTGGATTTGGATTTGGATTCAGGTTGGAAGGTTGGGATTCGGATTCGGATTTGGATTTGGATTTGGATTCGGAAGAAATATGAGAAATTTGATATGAGGAGTTTAAAGAACACAAAAACCCTGTGAACATCGGTAGGAAACGGAGCATTGTCACTTTGAATAGTAACAATTCGGGGGGATGAGGAAGTGGATTCGGTGGTTTTGGAAATGATATCCATGGTAGCGGAAGGATTTAAGAATAAGAGAAAAAAAAATGTGTTTAGAGTTTCGGGATAAGAGTATATGAGGATATGGGTATGAAGATATGAATCTGAACAAGGAATTTGATTTAGGATACGAGGATACGATACGAGGATATGAGGAATACGATATGAGAAAATTCGATACGAGGAATACGATTTGTGTTTCAAGAAAATTCAATACGAGGATTTAGATCTGGAAATATGAGGAATACGAGATGAGGAATTTGATTCAGGGTTCGTGGTTCAAGAAAATTCGATACGATACGAGGAATACGATATGAGGAATGTGATTTTGGGTACGAGGAATACGATATGAGGAATGTAAAGAACACAAAAACCCTGTGAACACGGCTAAGAACACAGAAACCCTGTGAATTCGGTTAAAGGACACAGAAACCCTGTGAACACGGCTAAAGGACACAGAAACCCTGTGAACACGACTAAAGGACACAGAAACCCTGTGCCATGCTAAAATATGAATATGAGTTTGAATATGTTAGGTTGTTATTTATTCTTCTCCATAAGGAGATATATAAGAATTTACATAAGTGCTTTACAAGGAATTAGATATAGTAAAGGATTAGGAAAGTATCTCCTAATTATATAATGATTTGACAACTATATAAAAATAGGAAAGTAAATCCCTTAATTAATCAAGGAAATAAATCTCCTTGATTGATTAGGAGACTCACTACAACATCTTGTTCTGGAGACTTCAGTGTCAACTTTCAAGTCTGCATATTCGCTGAATTTTCCCAAATGAGAATTCCCAGCTGTTCCTTCCTATGGAAATCCAAATTGCCTCCTAAAGACAAATGCTTTCTTCTTCAAATAAGTAATTAAGGAACAAAGACTTAAGATTGGGTTGAAGCTTCTTAGGCATGACCCTCCTTCTCAGTTGGGTATATCCCCTGGAATTTAGGCAGTTTTTCCGTGCCCTGATCGGTACATTGATTTTTGTCACATCCCGGATCGCTCCGCCGTAACACAACATTGTCCGCTTTGGGCCTCCCTTGCCCTCACGGTTTTGTTTTTGGGAACTCATGAGCAACTTCCCAGTGGGTCACCCATCTTGGAATTGCTCTAGTCTAAACTCGCTTAACTTCGAAGTTCCCATGGAATCCGAAGTCAGTGAGCTCCCAAAAGGCCTCATGTTAGATGGAGGTGGGCATGTACATATAAGGCACATCACCCCCTCTCCGTTGGTCAATGTGGGATGTTACAATTTTGGAGGTCCTTGGCAGAAATAAAAGTTGACCCATTTTATATTCAACACTTACGGCACGTTTGGATAAAAAAACATAGAAATTTAGAAATTCCGCCTGGGAAAAAACATGGAATTTGAAGGTCATAAATCCCAACTTTAAATTCCATCTAAAAATCGTCATTTTTAAATTCCAAGAGAGATTGAGTTTTAAAAAAAAATATAACTTTACAAATAAAGCTTAACTTATGTATTTAAATCCGTTACCCAAATAAGAAACTTTACAAATTCTAGAACAATGATTTCCGTCATTTTAATTTCATTATTTATAAATTCCTTTGTACTTTTAAAATTTCCTCGTCCAAACACGCTTTTCCTAAGCATGTGGTGCCACTGCCACACTTTACCATGATATGATATTTGTATTTATTAATTGATAATAAACAAAACATTGGAAAAATATTAACTATACCGACAGCCTATATAATATACGTGGTGAATTAATACGTGGAAAAATATTAACTATGTCGCACCTAAAGTTGCTAACAGATGAGAGAAAGCTATCGTATTAGGTAATTCCTAAAATATGTATTTCGGAACAATTATTGCCTATTTTTCACCACATAGGCAGTAGCTGTACGACCACATAAAATGAACAATAGCTGAGAAATATTAAAAAAATATTATCCACCCAATTCAAGAATGTGCGACGCTTTAATATCCAGGTAATTATCATGGCACAATGAGCCAGCAGAGTTTAACTCAATTAAAAAAAAAAAAAAATTAGTATTAGTATGTGTATGTGAGAAACCCTCCTCCCCACAATAATGGTCCGCTTTCGATTGCTTACTGTATGTCCTTGGGCTACTTACATAGAGGCTCTTTAATAGATAAAGTATTATATGAGTGCGGGACAAATTTTTATTCTGCGATATAATACATAGTACTAATAAGTATGTATGTTTAGAAAAAAGATGAATTTGGGCTCAACCAAAACAACTGTGAGGTTGGTACTTTATGGAAGCAGAGCACATGATAAGCAAAATAAGATTATCAGAGTATCAGAGTATCTGTAAGCTTTGTTTATTTCTGTGGAGGACTTCTTTTTCGGAGTATCTGTAGTTTACTGTGTTCTTAATAAGATTTTCTTTCTCCATGAAGCAAAAACATACTGAATCACTTTGGTTGCATAAAGGTTAATGCCTTTGGTAAAGCTACACTTTGGTTATACTTTCAGAAATTTTGGTTTAATGCAAGAGCATTTGTAGTGTTTTTATTTCTCACTGTGAAAAAGGATCAAGAGGTTCTTCTTCTGGAGACTTCAGTGTCAAGTCTGCCTATTTGCAGAATTCCCAGCTGTTCCTTCCTATGGAAATCCAAATTGCCTCCTAAAGACAAATGTTTTCTTCTTCAAATAAGTAACCAAGGAACAAAGACTTAAGAGGCATATATATATGGTTTCTGAGTAGTCTAGAAGGAGATCTTGTTACCCCCAACAACTTCAATACCCTCAGTTTGAATGCTGCTATGACTGGGTTGAAGCTTCTTAGGCATGACCCTCCCTTCTCAGTTGGGTATATCCCCTGGAATTTAGGCAGTTTTTCTGTGGGTTGCTGGATGTTATGGAGGAGGAGATGCTGTAGGGCCTTTGTAAGGAAATTCAGAAATAAGTGCTAAGTTGGTTAGTTTAAGTAAAAGATGCCTAATTTTTTTCAAAATAAAGCTCAAAAGGCTTCCGTTAGACATATAAAAGAACTTTTGGGCTACTATTCTGGACTAAAATGTCTTATAGGAATCTCTATTTTTTTAGGTGCCATGTGCCGTCACCCGTCTTGCCCAGTGAGTGAGGGCATGCCATGTATTATTTCAAACTCATCATTTTTTGTCACTCTTTCTTAAAATTCTATCAATCTATCCTCTTATACCATTCATAAATGTATGTATATTCTTGACGTTAATTACGTTTAAGGGTTAAATTACTATCGTTTGACGTCAATTTCTTCAATTACGTTAAAGCCAACTCGTCTAAACTACTATCAAATGACGGATATTTACAATTGTTTGATTTTGAAAATTACCGTCGTCCATATGACTGACAACAACTATTGAGCCTCATCTATATCTATATACACAAGGGCTATAGCCTAGTGCGACTTTGGGCCTAAATGCTTTTGTTTTAAAATCTCTAAGCCACGCCCTCTCCTTTAGTCACGCGCTTTACAAAAATTTTGGTACGAAAATACCATGACCTCCATTACTCGACCCCTGGCCTCTTTCGGTAATTTTCTTCTACCCCAGCTCTCTGTATTATATAGGATTAAATATGGTGGTTCTCCTCATCTTCAAAT